GTTTTTCTTTTATCCGGAGGGGTTTTGGGACCCAGGCGGCCGCCGTGGCAGCTCTGCGGGAGGGCTGTGAGGCCCATCTGCTGGCTCTGCTCGAGGAATGGGGGCTGTGCGCCCTCCATGCCAAACGGGTCGCCGTCCGAGCCGCCGATGTGAGCCTCGTGAAGTGCCTTCGAGTGAAAAGAGGATGATTTTCTACCCCTACCCCCCACCCAGTGCTGGAGACCTATCTCTGGGCCTGCTGCAAAAAAAAGAACGATGCAGAGAAGTGACTTTTTGTTGTTGTTTATGCGTTTTTTTTTTGTGTGGACTTTCAAATTAAAGCTCTGTGAAGCTTTTCAGATGAAAAGTAGAAGAAACAAAGCGTTGGAAGCTCGTTGGAGTGGGATGCTTTGAAAAAACACTTTGATTTACGCTTGTGATGCGAAGCACCACCAGACCTTGTGCCGTAACGATGAGGGCAACGTAACCTCACCACGAACCGAGTGGCAAAATGACTAATTACAAACCGAGCTGGGCTGTAATTTGGGTTTAGCAGCAATCTGTGATGTTGTGGCTTTGTCAGGGGCCTTATTTAAAGTCACTGCTGCCCCATCAGAGCCCCAAAAACGAAAGCAGCCGACCTCCTGCTGCCTTTTCTGATGGTTTCTCCTCTTCCTCGGGCCGATGTCGTGAGTCTCAGCGGACGGGGAGGCAAGTCTGGCAGCGGAGGTGGAGCCGTTGGGGCTGAAAGAGGCAGAGAGCTGCCTGCGCTGCCTGATAACAGCGCTTTATTTTGTGGTTTAACCCAAATAACGACTTCCTGCTGTCTCGAGATGCTAGTTTTGTTTATTTTTTTCTCCTTCTGTTCACTCGTAAGTGGTGAAATGGGGGATAAAATCCCATCCGTGGCCTTTCTCCTCACTCGCTTTCCAGCAGCGATTGCAAAACCACGGGGAGGCCCCAGCCTGAGTGATTCTGGGGTTTGCAAGAAGTGGTTTCATCCCATTTCTCCTAATTTCTCTGCAAATCTTAAGCAGAGGCTTCTCCCCTTGCAAAACCTTTCGACAAGGCACCTCCCAGCAGCAGTAAAACCCCTTTTCTTTCTCAAATCGAGCTGGTTTATATTTTTTTAGGAGGGTTCTCCCTGTTTTTCTGGGTCTTGTTTCCATTGCTGCCACCATGTCGGTCGATCGCTGGTTGGGACAGAAGCCGTTGTGGGGGAAAAGTGAACAGCACCGGGGGCAGGATCTGGCCCCAGCGGCATCCTCGGAGCAACGCTCGAGGCAACAGCAGCAAAAATCGTGGCCGTGACCCAGGAGCGTGATGGGATGTCAGGAGAAATCCGAGCAGGCGGCGCAGGTGGTTTCCTCCTGGAGCTTTTCCCTGGCATTTCTCACGGCCACGGCCAAGGTGACGGGGTGCTCGGAGAAACACCCACGTGATGGGGCCGGGCGAAGGTTTTCCTGGAAGCGGTGACGGCTGATGTTGATACTCAGAACTTCGCAGCGGGGAGAAGAAAAGCAACGCAGCGCTTATCCGACGTTCCCACCGCTCCAGCGATAAAACATCCACCAAGGACAAGGCCAGCAAGGATTGAATGACAGCAGGGAGTGCTGGCGGCGATTGCCAGGGGTTTGGGAGAGGCGATTTTATTTGCAGGGTGAGTTTTGTACTGCTCCGGGGAAAGCAAAGCGCGGCTGGAGGAGAAAGCAGGGATTAACGCAGGAAGGCAAACAGGGAGTGGAGTTCCTGCTACGGCTCATGCGGATATCAGCCGGCAATAAGCCCAGCGGGGGTTTTAAAACAAAATAAAAATCTCCACAGCTGAGCCTCAGGATCCGAATCCGATGTGAAAAATAAGAAGCAGAAGGGAGGGAGAAATAAGAAGCAGGCGCAGGATCTGTGGCTGCCAAAGTCCCATCCCAGGAGGGAATAAAGTTAATGCAGTTGTATAAGAAAATTATAATAAAATTAATTCAGGGAGCCAAACCGAAGGAGGGTGTTTGAGCTGAAATTTTCACTTTTACAGAATATAACGCACATAAAAATAATATTTGAAAAAGGAGATTAATTGGGAATTATTACAGTGATGAACAAGGCTGATAAACCAGGGAAATAAGTTGGATAGTCCCAAATAGCTG